ATGTGTTAATATCAAAACGCGATATTTCCATAATCTTTATTTCGTAAGAGTATTGGGAATATTGAATTGAAAACATCGTAAGTACGATATTTCCAATACATAAAATTTATCATTCTACATTGCCACAAAGTTGCCTCCTACGCGTCTACGGAAAAGGTGGGTCGCCTTCAGCTAGCTCAGTCGGTAGAAAGGTGGCTAGAAAACAATGGATGGCGGGCGGTCGTCGTTTCGATTAAAATGAAAGATTTTAGAAATGAGGTTAACATCAAGTTTAATAATTCAAACAAGAAAATTACCAACAATAATTATTATAATCAGACTACTACGAGCTCGTTGGATTTTCCCCACAATAAAAGCCAAAAGACTAAAAAGTACTGGTATCAGATTTTGTTTCACACGGTGGTTGTAATTCATAAGTCCGTCGAACATATAACTGAGGCGAATTGTGTAAAATATTGTCCTCTTCCACTAAATTATGGCCAAGCACGGCACACAAACTTATCAGGACAGAGAACATTGCGGTTTAACAGAATTTCTACGTCCAAATTCAGAAATAAATTCAACTGACTGCGCGCTGAGGCGCGGCGCAGTCAGTGATCAGAGGACACCTCTCTCTCCCTCTCTCTCTCTCTCTCTCTCTCTCTCTCTCTCTCTCTCTCTCAAGGAAATTCGGGTGGAAAATTTCCAGGATTTCGTCTCGTTTCCTCGTCTCGCACCGTGTTTGCCAAAAACACGTGCTGGTCTAGTTGCGTCGTAGAAGTAGGCCCGAGCGAACACAATTCTCGCTGCTAACGGGTGGCGCCGCAGAGGCTGGAAGGGGGAGGCTACGTCACTTCCGAAAGGGTGTTTCGAAAAAAGAAGTAAAAGCAGACAGAACAACGGCCGGCTCGAAGCAGGTCGCCGGTGGCTGGATGTTCTTCCACACAATAGAAGGGTGGCAGCTGCGCGTAGCGAATCGGCAGGTTCCGGCACGAGAGAGAGCAGGCTATTGGAAAACTACTGAAATTAATATTTCTTAATTATAATGGATTCGGTAAACCCACACTACAAATCTAACTGGCCTAAGCATTGACCAAGCTGGTACTGAAAATAATTAGTATTTAAGTATGAAAGTCAGCAGTTACGGGCTGCTGACCATATTTGATGAAAAATGTCACATCATATACTGAAGTTGAAAAGAAAAAAAATAACACTCATATTCCTGAATTATCTTATTCTATTGTTTTACTTTCATTTGCCACGGGCATTAATCCCAAACATTTAGCAGCGTAATATTTTAAACAAATGATATGACATTTTCGTGTTTTTCTCAAAACAGACTGGAATGGAAAAGTTTCATTTTGAAATTAGACCCCTCAATTAAGTGTTATGGACCAACATTTAATTTTTACAAATGTTGATTATTCCATGTCAGTTGGTGCTTTTTACTTAGTTTATAAATAAAAAAATATTTTTGTAATGTTTTAGGTGTTATTGGTCCTGCTCATGACGTCTGAAATCTTTTAGAAATCACTAAAAAGGCATGCGCGGTCCAAACACTGCTGCGCTAGCTAAATCGTTATAAAAATGCTCGAGCGGTACAAGGTTAACACATATTATTGTTATATCTACACTACATAACGCATATTTTTAATTTCTAATACAAGAGATGAATTTTCAAATTTCTTCAGAATTGAAATATTCACCTCTTCGCGAAAGCGAATTTTCACCGCCTTAAGCATAAAATTGTGAAGACAAATGCAAAATGTAATTCCGTTAATTTTAAGGCATACAATATTACCGTAGACTGGGAATCGATCACACTGCTTTACGAGTTCTAGAACAACACTAACACTGAGCCTTTTTTTGGCTCTTGTAACACTCCTCTTATAACAACACATTGTTTATTAACGAAACTAGAAAGAAACATTAAGTTTACAAAAATTAATGTAAATTCAGTTTCGCTGGCAGGAATCGAGAGTCTTTTTCCCCTGTACTACTACTATTTTGCTCCTAATTGATGATAAAGTATTTTATACACTTCAATAAAATAAATTTAATCTTCGTAGTTCGATCTACGGAACATAGTTACGAAAATAAACGTTAGATAGCACTGTCGGCAAGCATGACCAGCGCCACCAGCCTACCGAGCCACGGCATTTTTAACGCGAAACTTAATGTTTCCAAGAGTGTACATTTTATTTCAAAATTTTAATAGTTTTCGAGCAATATTGTTTGCAGTATGTGAATTTTAAAAAAATAACAAAAACAAGATATTCTCCATAACTGCTTAATTTTTTTTCTTTGACAATTCGGTACGTATAGTGCTATATGTACTCTATGAGACGACGTAAATGCCATATTGCTCTTCTGTGCATATTCTTGTGTTTTTTTCAAAAATCACAAAAAAGTTATTTTTGACCTGTCACGACGTTAATATTTATATTTGTGGGACTTTGTTCCAAATATTGCATTTATGAGCTTTAAATAAAGTCATATGAAGTTCCTCGAAAACTCAACAGTTTTCTGTGAAAACAACCTTTAAACGTTAATTTTGAGGTGTATTTGTTGTTGTTTTTTTCTAAAAGTAAACAAATTGAATTTTTTGGAAGATATCTCCCGCCGTTAATACCCACATTTTACCAAAAAGTAAACAGTATTGTATTTGTGAGTGAATGTGCGTTAAATGACTTCTCATGAAGTTTTTCGAAAACTCCAAATTTTTTTGTGAAAAAAAGCCCAAAATTTCGTATTTTATTGCAGCGACTAAACGGCATTTTATTAAAAAAGGTTCCAAATTTTTCAGAGAAAATTGCAATTTAGGACAAGATTTTACTGTTCTTTAATATCCTTAAAATAATTTTTCCTCCTACTATTAGGAAACCGAAAAATTAAGAAAAGTCAAAAAGAAGAAAAAAATTCTTTGGGCGAGATAAGATGGCAGCTGGCAAGAGAATGTGTCAAATCCGAATAGCTTGCCAGGTCCAAGGAAATTGAAAACTAATTCGGGAAAGTCTGTGACATTTGTAGCACCACCAGTATTAATCTTTTGAATTGAATGGACTACACATGATAACAATGCCATTTTGATATATGCTTTTGTTTCAAAAACAACACAATTACACAAATGTAATGTTTTTAATATCTCTTACATTATTAATATTAACATGATCAGCAATTTGTAATGTTCTGGGAGACAATGAGCTTCAAAAAGTGCATTTCCAGAAACGCTTAAACATTTTCCAAAACGGCTTAAAATTTGAATAAAATATGGGGCGAGTTTTTAATCTTCTATAATATCCTGTAAGTCAGGCTTCAGTTTGACCATTAGGGGACTGAAAAATTGAAAAAATATATTTTGGCAGTGTTAGATGACAGCTGGGAAGAGGGTGGGGTAAAAACAAAAACCTAGCGCAGACGAAATAAATTAGAAAACTAACTAGTATAAGAAATGAGACATTCTGTAGCACCATTAGGTTTTCCCTATGTTGATTACCCAATTACCAAACTACCTCCATTTCTGTTTTGAACATCTTCCCATATTGGACAAAAATAAATTTTTAATACATGTATGTAAAATCAAATGCTAATTTTATGCAATAATAAAAGTTCCAAAAATCTTCTGCCTATTTTAAGTTAAAACTTTTTACTGGATAATAATGTTTTGGCTAATATGTTAACATCGACAGACATGTATGGTTGTTCAATTAAATTTCTCTACTTCACAACTCAAGTAACTTGGGAGTATTTTTTTCTTATTGGTTGAAGTGGAATGTATTATTTGACCAGGAACTGAACAAGCATGGTCAATACTAAAATATTTTAATGATAACGTTTCTTCCAGACCTACTTTACCTCTTCAGAGACATATAAAGAATATTTACATTGAATCATTTGTAAAATAAGTTTACATTTTATATGATAAAAGTGTGAAAAGTACCTCAATGTTCTTACACAAGAAATCTCAGGCTATATTCACTTCTGTACCAGTCTAAGACTAAGCAGTATTGCTAAATTTGGTATGATTTTAAGTGGAAGGACACAATTATAGGCAATTTGATGGATACATTAACATTACACATTCTAAATTAAATTATTATTTACAATCAAATCAAGGGTCAGCAACCATCCATTGTAATGTTTTAATTTTATTTTCAATTTCCAAGAACTAAGTAAGATTGTAATAATTCATTTGACAAAATAAGTGGTAAACAAAATATTAACCTGAATTTTAAATACCAAAACATCAGTAATTACTTGAACAAATTTATCTCATTGCTTTCATCTTTTTGCCATGGTTCCCTAATACAAAGCAATGTTAACATACGCTTTGTGTTTCATAGTTAATAATTATATACTTTTTCTGATTTATGTATAAAAAAATTTCAAAAAGTTTTTGATGTAAATAAAAATTTACACAAAACACTGACAATTTCATTTACTATATGATTCATTTACTTGACTCATTCATCTACGATTCATGAACACATTTATTTTTAACCTACTCTCAAAAATGTTTCGATAATCAGAATTAAAGAAATTTTTTTTTTTATCTATCTAGAAGTACAAATGCAACTTTTTTTTCCATGGTAAGGTTTAGATTCAGTTCACTTTTTAATATTGATTCAATAAACCTATTGAATCCCTTTGGAATGTCAGATTTTAAGACCTCCAAGTTTGTTTTGAGCCTTTTACAAGAGTACATAAAACATTTCTTCCCAAGTCCCTTATTGTCCTTTTGAGTGCACTTACAATCTTTTGTCTGTACCATTTTGTGTGTCAATTAATTTGCGAGCTCTTAATACCTTATAGAAAATTGCTTAATGACGGAGCGTAACGTGATATTTCACAGAAATAAAACTTCCGAGGTTTGAAAATCTGACCATCGTCATGATTTACAATCTGCTTACAATGATTATACATCGATCGACGTATGTACTGAGAAGAATGTGGGCCAAGAAAAACTGTTAAAAAATTGAAGCAATATATTGGCGAACGCAACACGATAAAAGAAGTAGTACCTGTTTAATGCGGTGCCATATACTGTCCATCCTTCTTCTGCAAACTTTGTACGAACCGCCCTGCCTAACAGGCCAGAAGCTCCAGTTAAATAAAGTTTTCTTTCCATCGTTAATTATACGCTTAACTTACGTTGCTTGCAATCGAGAAACTAGGCCAGGGAAAATAAGGAGTTAAGCTGCAGCTTAGCGATAATCAGCGCTGATAATCGATGTTACCAAATGATGCAATACGAATCGTGAGAAATAATAAATCAATTTCAACGTGTGCCCACGAAATTACTCAACAGACATTAACAATTTCTTCTATCGAAGTGATATATAAGTCCATAAAATTCCTTGCTCCTTACAATTAAAGCTCGCCCTACAAATAATGGCGCAGCGCGTCTAATCGACTTTGACCTGAAATTGTGATGTGAAGACAAAACATGTAATCTAATGTTATTGGTTTTTAATCTACTTTTTTTGTTAGTTCAATAAACAATATGCCTGATGCAGATTCTTAACAGATGCTTACAATACAATTTGTAAGTCAAGAACGAAAACTACGGGCCGACACCCCCGATGTTCGGCCAGGGCTGGTCGATTATAATGCCATTATCACCTGACTCACTACTGTAAAATATATCTATAAATCTTATATCTATATATCTCGTAAGTGGTATTGTTTTACTCGCGTTTCGCTCTTTCCCTGTCAGACAACAGTCAATTGTTATCTTACAGGAGTACCAACACAAACTACTTCTTTTTTAATATTATAGTGTGGCCTCCTCCGCAAACTGCAAACTGCTCGAACTGCAGTGCAAACATTATTTGTTAGGCACAATAAAATCGTGACAAGAAAGAATAATAACAGAAGGAAATTTAACTGTCGTGGGCGCTTGTGGCATTGAAATTTTGTTGACAATCCTATCATTTAATTGTATGAATTGAATTTTATATGTAATAGAAAATCGGTAGGTTGCAGAAATGGCCAGTTACTTACAACGTAAGGGAAAGCAACAGCATCCAATTATAACTACAAACGATGCAGATAAAAACGTTTACATTTAACATTTTCTTTCCAGGATTATTAACTACCTGTGTAGTCATTCCAAGACGTTCTATGGTGATTCAAAATTGTGCTGAATGCAAAGAGACTGGTACAGACTTTAAATCAGATTTTTTAAGATCACACATTGAAACAACCTCTTTACAGAAAATACTTTTGGCTTGTGGTTCTGCTATCATGTCTTTATACAGTCCTATGAGAGGTGACATGATTGCAATTATGGGAGAAACTGCGGGAACGTCAGCCATGAAATATATGTTGGAAAAAATGAAGATAAGTCCAGAGGGGCAAGAAATCTTAAAGTAATGCTAAAAATATTGAAATATTATGCTAATATTGCAAGGTGACAAATTAATTGAGGTTATTTGATTAAATATTTGCAGAATTAGGCCTAGGATAAATTCAAAAACTGTCAATTTGCCACAGTTAGCAAGTTTACCTGAAGGTACTCTTGGGAAGACTTATGTGAACTTTTTGAATAAAAATGTAAGTGATTTCTAATCATACAAAATTAATTTTAAAAATGACATGTGACAAAAATAAATTGTAAAATTGACATTTTAAAAATGACAATTTAAAAAATTATCTCTTTTAGAATGTTACACCTGATTCTCGTTTACAAGTGCAGTTTGTGGATGATATAGAATTGGCCTATGTCATTCAAAGATATCGTGAAGTTCATGATTTGGTTCATGCTATTCTCAATATGCCAACAAATATGTTGGGTATGTATTCATTTGTCATGTAATTGTTGAATTGTGAAATAATTATTTAGTACAGGTACTGAATTATTTTTTTTTTTTTTTTTTTTTTTTAGGAGAAGTTACTGTGAAGTGGGTTGAGGCTTTTCAGACAAGATTACCTATGTGCATTGGAGGGGCAGTATTTGGTGCCATGCGTCTTTCGCCCAAGTGAGTATATTATTTTCCTTTCAGACTCAATTGCCAAATATTCTGTTCTTTTTAAAATCCTAATTAAATTGGTTCATAAATTTGAATTGCCTTCCTCTTAATACAAATAAATTTATCCTAATGGAATTAGTCTTTAATTTTTTGATGTCAACTCTTAAAGACAAACATCAGTCTGCAACACTATTGTTATTTGAAGTTGTAGTTTGGCAGTACTGTTAGGTGCACCCATCCTAGAATATTCTTATTAACCAATCGTCCTCATAGCACACATGTTTTCATAGTTTATGGTTGTTTCTTGTCTGAGTAACACAGTTTTCACAAAAAGTTCAGGTCTCATTGACCAGGGGTTTTGTCTGACATGAAACGTCTAGGCATGTGAGTCCAGAAGTTTCTTATTATGTGGTATTCATAAAATCGTAAACTTTAAGAGGTTAACACTTGTTCAAATGTTACATATTTGTGTGTCTTGGGGAAAGATTTTTTTCTTTTCAGATTACATCTTTGATCCTTCATCACGAATAGTGTATCTTCAAGACCATCAGTGTTGAGAGGGTATTTGATCAGTAGTGTAAATGTCCAGAAGTTTTTGCAGTGGTTTCTGGAGAGTGAATATGAATTAGAAAAGGAAATTGATGGTTCAGATACAGTTAGTGTAGAGGAAATGAAAAATAAAAATGATATGGCAACAATGAATAAAAATGGAAAAGGAATTGGAAATAGTGATGATGAAAATTATCTTTTGGTAACTGTACAAACTAACATTACAGGTCATTCTCAAAATAAAGTACCATGGTTTATCATTGGAAAAAAAAAATGGAAAATACTTAAAATTCGAAAACAAGAGCTACCTAGAACAATGCGAAGTTGAAGTCATAATAAACTAATTTGTTAATTGTCTGGAATGACAATGAAGGACTACAATGACTACCAATTTGTATAATTACCAAAATACAAACTTCATTAAAATAAAAGCTTTGTTTGGTCTGCTTATGTATATGTCAATTTTCAAATACAGTCATCAGAAGATGCTCTCTCTACAAAATACTTTACTGAAAGGCCTATATTTTGGCCAATTATATCAAACAAATTATTCAAAATACTAATATTTTGTAGAAAGTAGGTACCATTTATTAATTGTTATTTAATGATTCTATTCTATTTTTTATATATTTTAGATTAATATTCTATTTTTTAAAACAATGAAGAGTAAGACATGATATAAAATAAAGTTGGTTTATTTCAACATTTTCAGATTTTGTATGTTGCTAGGTTCATTCATCCTCACCTTCAGACCAACTGTAAGGAATATAACCACAAATACCCTTATAAGGCCCATTAATTAAAATCATTGCCAGTAAAATTACTCAGTAACAAATTAAAAAAAAAAAAATTATTGCGTTGTTGTTGTTGAACTTATCTCTGAACCTATTTTTGTGCGTTGGGCACCTGCTTTGAGTAATCCTTCGTTGTTTTCACTGTCAATTTTCTTCATGTTGTGGTCATTCAGTGCCTTTAATCCTTTCGGCTAGAGGCTCAGTGCCATTAGATCTCAGGGTTCCTAGATGGTCACCTTATCAGGAACCCACGAGGTCTCGAATTTGTTTTGCCTTTGTGACTTCATGGGTCATAGTAAACAAATTCGGCTACACTCAAGACACACGAGAGGAACCATTGACTTACTTCTCTTTTCTTTAATTCATGTACAATTTCTACAAACATGTGAAGTCGTTATGCCAAATCAAAATATATTATGAGTACTCTCTATGTTGACACATCAGTGCTTTGCCAATTGTTAAAAGGCACTATGAGAACATCTACTAAGATAAACTAAGTCTGAGGTCGACTGTCGGTTTGTCAGATATAAGGCGAGCGTGACTGGGAATGAGGGGGTGAGGAGGGGAACAAATGGGGAAGAGGAAGTCAAGAGTCGGAAATAAAACTTTTAAGGCAGTATTGCTTGTTGAACTATGGAGTTATTTAATTTTAATTATGAACTAACTATTATCAAATGCGTTCATAAAATATATTATTACTATCAATCACGCTATTCACAATTTTATTCAACTTTATGTTAAATGTTTCTCCCACTATCCAAGGAAATTTCCTCGATTCTCTATCAATTATATCATATGCATCAAATTCAAGTTGGCGACCTAAGTCAACTCTAGTATGTTGGGATATTGAATTTAGTGTGTTTGGGACCTCCCTTATACTACTAGAATGTTCTTTGATTCTGTATTTTATTTTACGTTTGGTTTGACCAATATTAAAAATTTCACAGTTATAGTAATTGATTTTATAAACTGCATTTTCAATATCAAGAAGGATATTGGCATCGTTTATGTTCCTTACAATGCCTTGTTTGTTGCCAACCTTGTTTGTTGTTTAGTTTGTTTCCAAGTAGTACATTTTTGTTGTCGAATTCTTCATAAAGTGAATGCATATTTTGAAATATACCACAAACAATAGTGTTGTTGCTATTATAATTGGTTTCATGTGCTGTGTTATTATTTTTTTGTGTCTTATTTTGTCTCTTATTGACATATTTATTAAAACATTTTGTGAGATAATTATTAGTTCCTAATTGTTCTTTAATTTTATTTATATTCTTATTATTATAACATTGTTCAGAGCACTTAATAGCCTTGTCCAATATTTCATAAAGTATGCCTATTTTTTGTTGGATGAGATGTTTTGATGTACAGCCCATTGCTAAATATTTAGTATAAAAATTAGTGGAAATTTGAGCATTGCATTTTCAACAAAAAGTTGTAAATAATTCAGCTTATTATTCTGCTCTACTTCAGAATTGAACTGTGTTTTGGGATGGTATAAATGAAAAGTTTTAATTGTATCTTGTGCATTGTTCTATTGAATGATAATAATAATGTAGACAACATAGTGCCTATAGAGCAGTTACTCAACTTAAGATACTTGTTGAGTGTACTTTCTGATTGTCTCATTACAATTTTAGAGAATATGGAATTTTTGGATTTTCCATTTGGGATCCCAACAGTTTATCTACAGATAACATTTTCAAATTTGGATTCCATATGCATCAAAGTACAGAACATACAATAATTTACAATTATTAGTATTTCATTAATTGAAATGTTAAGTTCATTTCTTCTTTGTAAATAACTACTTATCCCTGACTATTTTTCAAATATTGCTAACCTTGCGATTTTTAAAATTTATTTTTATTTATTTATGATAAACTTTTACTCATCTTTCAACTATTTTTAGTTAAAATAACGGTAAGGGATTCTGGAACTCAAGAAAATGTGCGCAGATTAGCCAATCCCCCCTACGTCACATACAGTTTTTACTGTTTTTTAAAGCTCTCCCTTCTAAAATGAAGCACTGTGGATCCCAGGATGCTATTATATCTAAAGATGTAATTGAATGACTGTGAGGGATGGTAATTTCTTTCAAGTGTTGTTCATAACTACTCTTGATTACATTCTGGGTATAAGGCTGCCAGATTGGATTGATAAAGTCATTTAGAAATTTGCTAATTCATGTAGTGGAGCATCAATGGTTGATAGGAGATGTATAAGGGGTCTTGTAGGATAACCATCCTTGTGAAATTTGATGAGACAATAGCTGGAAGTGGCAGTTGTCCTGCTGTTATTTGCTTTCCTATATTTTGCTCTAAATATATTTAAGACATTAACTTTTTGTTAAAGTTTCATATTTTGCATTATATGAAAATTGAGCCTTGACCTTGTTAATTCAGTATTTATTACTGTTCATTGCTACATATTTTCTACCTTTATAATTTTGCATAATTAATATGTCTGGATTTTGTGAACTTTTTTGCAAGCTTAAAGCCCCTTATTATAGCTGTTTTATTTAGTATGATATTATTGTTAATATGTTTGTTTATGCAGTGTACTATTATTTATTGTAATTCACCTCTTTTGTCATTTGGAAAGCTAACAATCAAATTTTCAAATTCTTTTATGGTATCTTAGTACACCTTTTCTTATTTGCATTTGTCAAAAAAAGGGAAAATCACAATCAAGATTGGTAATATCTATAACCTTGCCAGGTATATCAACAGAAAATTTTGCTATCAATCAGTGTTGTTATCACTATTACTACCCCTACCCTTATGTTCACTATTACAATTAAGCAAAGAGGTATAATTATTTCCTTGTTGATTTTTTTGGAGTCTCTTAATTCTGTGGTGATGCTTTGCACATAAACATTCTTGAGATGTATCTTTTGAAGGGCATAAAATCTTTCTAAAGTCTCTGAATTAAAGAGAAATTCAAGATTAGTTTTTGTGAAAACTTCTCATATTTTCAAATGTTATGACCTTATTTCATTATATTCATTTCAACATATTTCATTAAGGAAAAAATGTATATCTTCAATATTGTAATTGAAGGAAGATGCGGGAGAAAATTCAACTTCTGCAGTTTTCAAAAGCAAATATTTCAATGAAAATTAGACCTACACCAATTTTCAAAGCTTTTCTTACACTATCATAGGACAGAGTTGAATGAAAAAGAATTGATGCCATTTAAAAAAAAGATATAGAAAATGTGTTCGAGGTTTCATGTTAAGTTCCCCCCAAATCAAATGATCTGTTATCTATCAAATTATTAAACTAGCAGAGCCTCGAGCTTGTTCCGATCGATCTGGGATTCAATTTTGGGAAAAATCGCCTGTACGGGTTAGGTGGTTAGCGTTAACCCCAGACGGACGGATGCGTTTTGCCGTCAGTCGATTTTTCGGTATCAAGGACCTTCAGAACGTGGATTGTCACTACTCAACGTGGTAACAGAGGTCATGTTTTCCAGTCCTGTTGGAAAACACTCAACATGTTAGCAATTTTAAATTCAAAATGTTAGGACGCGATACATATCCCTTCTTCACTCCCTTTCATCGTATTTGAGCCCCGTCGTAATCGTTCAGCGACACAAGTTGCGCTGCTGCTGGTTAAGCATTGGTTTAAAAGGAGGTATTCACATGGGTGGTGCAGGGACGTATTCGTACCACCCGGACTGCGTTGCAGCCGCTGCCGCACACAGTTCCAAATGGTAGCCTTCACAATAGGACACTCGAAAGTACCTCTTTTCATGTTGACTGCCTTGCGGTCGCCGTCGCCCACAGCGGTGACTCGGATCCTTCCTTTCCCACGCTCAGTGGCTCAGGGCACAAGGCTGTGTTAAGGACCCGTCCCGTCTCGGAGGCACCACCGAGTTGCTCTGAATTGTGTGAAGGCGGCCTTAGTGTAGGACTACCTGACAAAGCAGCTTACGAATGTCTTGAGTTCGGTTTGACGCTAGTGGCAAGCTCCACGTGTCGTCGAGAAAATCAGGGCAAGATGGGATGAGCAAATTTGATGAGCATGCTTCTGAAATTTCCCATTTAAGGAGGATCTTTCGTTTTGGGCATTTGATTGTTCCCCACGAAAGAGATACAGGAAAGTCGACGTGTTTTTCTACTTTAAGTCATGCCACCGGAATATTTTCTCGCCGAAAACAAGTTTCTGTTTAATCCAGAGTCCATTTAAGGTGTTTTATTGCTCTGGCGATTTATAAATATGTTCTGAAAGTATTGGAAATACTTTTAGTGTGATGAGTCATTTATGTTGGTGCAGTGAGTAAATGAGAGGTAAGCTCCATAGTCCCTGCCACCGGTTACTTGATTGTAAATCCATAGACATGAGCCAAACGTCTGGTCGGATCTACTTTTTATTACAAACATTTGTATTTGATAGTTTAGATAGTTGTATGAGTTAAATAAGTGAATGAATTACATAATTTGGCAAAATTTCAATTTTATGCTATGCCTTGAAGTCATTTCATCATGCATGGGCCTTCAATCTCTGATAGTCCTTTTTGAGATTTGAATTCAAGTATTCAGAATTTATCGTGTAAATTGATCATGACTACATATTTATTGCAAAATACAACCATTTGTGTAAATGAAAACGTAATATCCACTAAAATATCATTTTTATTCTAATTTTTCAGACAAAGGAAGTTATATGTTGCTAGTTATTTGCCTTGGGCAATTCAAACTGGAACAACTAGTTCATTTCTTATGAATGTGTTTTTTGAGAAGAGATGGGATCAGCCAGTTAATGATTTACTTCAAGAGTTGAACATCCAACCAATGAAGACATGAAGGATAAAAATGAAGATTATTGTAGAAAAGATTTTTAATTAGTCAGTTAAGAATGATTGTTATGTTTACCAGCGTGAATTCGGTTATTACACTTCGTTATTGTGTTTACAATGTATTTATGTCCATATTGTTAAATAATATTTTGATTGAATTTATGTGGTTGTAGTATGGATGTCTGGGTTTTAAACCACAAGTGCAGTGTTTTCTTTTCTTCTTCTTCTTCTTCTTCTTCTTCTTCTTCTTCTTCTTCTTCTTCTTCTTCTTCTTCTTTTTTTTTTTGGTTCTTGTAATGGTGACTCGTGCTCTCAAGAATTGGGTCGACAAAATAACGTCGAAGGGCAGCACCGAGATGCTGACGATGTCACTGAATTTATTTTTAAAGTCAGAAACAGGGTTTTCGAGGGTTTCTGGAGATGGCTGCTTGTTTGAATAAATCACGTAGGATTGAACTCCAACCCCCACAAATGTAGTATGCAATGGTGATTTCTCAGGAAATGGAAGTGAGGAAGCACCTCCTCACATATATTTTGTTTCTTTTTTTAATTCGTTGCGTCTTTAATTGTCACTACGCTTCTCCAAGTCCCTTGAGGGCGTTGAGTGCTTTGCGCTTTCCGAGTAATCCTCCATTAATATCACCGCGGGAGTAAGCTTCCATTATTATTTCAATATGTCACATCCGTCAGATCTCGTCGCATTCAGTTGTCAAGAGAACCACCATGTAGCATCTCCGCGTACGCGCCTCCTTCTACGCGCTCCCGCGTCACTACCCGACGGCCAGAAATTGGAAGGAATTCGGGGTAGGGTTTTAGCGTACTTCACAGGGGTTGGACTAGCCCTTGTGAAGCAGCCGAACTCTTTTGTTGGAACAAATTTCACATGTGTTTGTCCGGACATCGACGGTAATCGAACCCGGACCCCGTTGGTGAAAGACGAGCGACTTCGCGCTGAGCCACCAGATGACTTTTTTAAAGGAATTTCAAAATTAAATATATGCTTTGAAGTTTTAAGGAAAATGTAAGAATTTTGTTGTATTTTCAGGACAGAAGGATGCAGTGTCTTAACACAGCAAATGGTTTCATTCACTTTTAATTCCCAAACACCATAACTATATACAATAAGAAACTTTAACAGGAACGAAATAAGAGAAACAATAGATTTCTTGCCGATCTTGTTGTACAATATCAAGGGTTGGTTTTGCCATCGAAACGTGGCGCCAGGGTAGGCCGCCAAATAACAGCACAGGCCTCACAACGTGCTGGATGTATCCAGCGCTGGTCAATGATCCCTCCACGAACGCGCGTTGTAGCTGATGGCGCCTCACACCATCTCTCCCTGGCCCTACGTTGTGGTAGAACACACTCCGGACACACGCTCTCGCCTGTGCCACGCCGCACACGCACACCACCGCCACCGCCGTGCAGGTAGAAGCGGCTCTCATCGCTGATCCCAGCTGACCCGCGCGTTGCACCACCCCACTCGTGCTCGGCGATGGTTCGGCGAGAGTGGCAGTCGCCCTTGCAGCGCGCGCGATTGTAGTCCTGCGGCAAGTAACCGATTCTCAAGGGTGCGTGGAGACACGTTGGGGCCACATGTGCCTGTATCTCGGCGCGGGTGGCCGTACGGTCTGCCAATGCCGCCCTCACGATGCGTGGATCTTGACGTTACTTTCTTCGCGGTCGCCCCGATGCATTCCCATATATGTAGATCCATGTCTACATATCGTCCGACGACCCATCATGTCCCACGTGGTTAGCAATGCGCCAAAACGGCCACTCGTGTAAAATACATTGAATATTTTTTTACTATTTTCTAAGAATTTTTAGGTCATTAGAACCCGAGCCCTGGTAATCATGACTAATGAATATGAATTTGTTAAATTATATTTTTGTTATTGAACTTACTAATGCTATATTTGTTTGCTATACACTTTTATAGTATAGTCCCGGATATTTTTTTGTGGGCGGGCTCATTTTCTTACGCTACTGCTTTTGATAAAAAAAACACAATTGAGTCCGTCCAAAGTATAATTTCCAACACATTAAATTCCAAAAAATGTTATACATTAACAACATGTTATACATTAGCGCCATTCTCATTCGATCTAAGAAACCACGAAGCGAAACCAACAGGAAACTAAAAGTCCTGTAGACTGGTTAGCATAGCCGTGGCTGTAGACCGTGTATGGCCGGTATTAGACTGTAAAATATATTTGACATTTATCTTTGATGAAGAAATTTGTGGAAGTTCTTTGAACTTTGACGAAGGAAACTTTGACAAAGAAAGTTGATGAAAGTATTACTTTTCGTCAAACATTTTATGTAGTTTTGCCCGCGATACAAGATCGATTACGCACAGATAGTTGCGTTTGTGCTACTTTATACTTAGTCATAACTAATCTATGTTTAATCAACGCCACCTAGATAGCGTTCGTTTAATGCTGAAGAAGTATAACGTAAAGGGGGACGTTTGAGTAAGAGGCATAAATTAAAAGAACTTAGAAATGAAGAATGGACAAGGAATTATTCAATTGTCTCTGTCGTTCTTCATTCTTTCGAAATTGAATGCTCTGTTTTTTAAAAAGTTAAAAAAATAACTTCATGAATTGGGCATTTCCCAAACCCCACATTTTCATCTTCTCCAGTAAATATGTCATACGCGTCAATTCGTTTGGTTTTATTTAAACAATCTTATATAAACATTCTAATTGCTCATTCTCTGCAACGTAATGTTGGCGACGTATGAATCTGTCTCTCTCTCTCTCTCTCTGGCACATTGGAATACCGGTATTGGGGCGTGAGTAGTCCGAATTTTCGTCAGGGGGACTAATAATAATAATAATAATAATAATAATAATAATAATAATAATAATATTAATCCTATCGGACGCGTCCTCAGGTGGCGGATCGGGGAATGCTCTTACCGGCCACGGCGGAGGGTAGGTGGGAAATAAAACACCACCTGTGGACCAAATCCAGACGCTGGCGGCAGCGTTAAAACGCTAGGGGAAGGTGACCCCAAAAAGAAACCCTCGATAAAAGGTCCCTCAGGATCAACCGTTACGGTGCAGGGGATAGGAGCCCCAGTACCAGCAGCCGGAGGTGGGCAAGCAAGCCCCCGGAGGTCGTCAACCAGCGACTGCAATCTCAGAGACGTGGGCCGCTTGGCGTCTCTGAAATTCTATACTGCAACCAGCGAAAGCATAGAGCAAGCAGGTTTTAACCCCTTTTCTGGGAAGTCAAAACTGCGGAGATCACCTCCACGTACCCCCTCGACAACTGGTGTACCCACAGGAGACAAGGCAACCCTGAAGAGGCCACCAAGAAGAGCCCACGGCGGCAAGGGATAGTAATGCGAAGGGCTGAACATCCGGTAACTGGGTGTTGACTCAAACGTTAATGGAAGACAATTCGGAGATTATTGCCCGTCTACAGAGTCAATTATCAGAAGCAGCAACGTTCTGAAAAACAACCCAGTTATAGCGAAGGACACCTTGGCTATAGCTCTAGCAGAGGTGGATGTACTAAAGAATAGGAGGGAAAACATTAAAGAAGACTCAAAGGGGATGTATGATAGAATAATCCTCCTACAGAATGACAAAAATGCCGAGAATACCAAACTCGGCAAACAGATGAACGGGAAGTCGGTCAAAACGGCACAGTCCCAGAAGAACAGACAAGCTCCAAGTCCACTACAAGACAAGAGGCCAGGCAAGAAAGACAAACAGGAAGAAGTCATAGACAAACAGGAAGAAGTACAGACAAACCAAACCAAAACCCCGATGAGAACTGGAAGAAAATGGAACACAGGAAGACGGCGAAGAAAAGGGAGAGTTCCACCAAAGAAGGCAATCAAACCCCCAAGGCCAAACAGAAGACCCACCAACAAGGCCATCAAACTGACAGCCAACGAAGGGCAATCATACGCCGAAATATTATAAAGAATGAAGGAAGCGGTTGACACGAAGCAACACAACGCTAATATCCAGACGATCAGGAGGATACGTAAAAATGAACTCCTGATATTCCTGAAGAAAGATTGTGATCCCACTTCCATAAACGAAGCAATCACCCGTGCAATAGGAGAAACAGGATAAACATCAACACGTTTAACCCCAAAACCTTAATTGAATTAAGGAACATCGATGAGTCTGTCGTAGATGAGGTAAGAGATGCTGTCACACGCAATACGGGCCACTTCCCCCCGGCGACCTGGAGACTATACAAGGTGTACGGAGGCCGACAGGTAGCGACTGCACTGCTCCCTTCGCGCCAGGCAGAATTTCTGCTCAAAGCAGGAATTTTTGAGATTGGCTGGCTTACTTGTCACGTTAGACTTAAGCACCAGGTCAGCAGATGCTTTAAATATCTAGGCTTTGGCCATATCTTCACCTCTTGCAAGGGCCCCGACAGACGTAATATGTGGGAAAAAGGGACACTTGGCCAAGGACTGCAGAGGACCAGTTCAATTGTCTGCAAAGACCAAAACCTTGAAGACACTCATAAACTGGGTAGCTATAAATGCCCTTCACTGCAGAACTAAGAAAACTCGGTAAAACAAAGAATGCCTAGGTTCCTTCAAATTAATTTAGGCAAAGGAAAGACCTCCCAAGATTTGCTCATTCAAACGGCAAGGGAAAGGCAGGTGTCTTACTGGTGAGCAGCATGTGATATTGACGACATATCCCTATACCAGGACACGGCCAGACGTGCAGGAATTATAATACTTAACTACAAAATAAGAGTCTCTAAATTTAAAGTTACAAACCAAGGTTTTGTATAGGTACAAGTGGACACCCTTAGAATATAGTTATTTCTCCCCAAACGACTGAATAGAGAAATTTAAGAAGCAAATCGATGAACTGGTGGCAAACATGAACTCAGCCCCAAGAGAAATAATATTCGTAGGAGACTTTAACAGCAAGTCCCCAGAATGGGGCGAAAGCAGAACTGATCGCAGAGGCGATATTGTTTGCGAATTCCTGGCTAGGAAGGACCTGATAGTCCTAAACGCAGGAAGCTCATGTTCATTTTAAATGGGCGCAGCTTCTTCGATAATAGACTTAACAATAGGAACTCAAGGATTGCCAAGAATGTTCTGGATTGGCAGGTTCTCGACACTGAAACACTTAGCGATCACCTCTACATTCAATTCTCCACTTCATCAGCTGGAAACAGAGTTAGAAGAAGGAATCAGCCAAACATCGGTCCACCATGGAACACCAAAAAGCTAAAAGAAGCTAATGCCATAAAATTCCTTGAAGATAAATTACTGGCGTCCATGGGTGGAGTAAAAGATAAAGGGCAGAGTCCCTCGAAGAGGTAGTACGGGAAACGTGTGAAACAGTTAAAAATTCGTGTGACATCTCAATGCCTAGACGTAGGAGCCCAAAGGGCAAAAATCAGGTATATTGATGGACAGCGGCTATTGCAAAGTTTCGTCAAGCATGTGTTAAAGCTAGAAGACTTGCAACTAGATCTTAAAACGGACATTCTGCTGAGGGAAAATTGCAAGACGGCCCGCGAAATACTAAAGCGAGATTAAAAGAAGCAAAACAAATGGTGGGAGGCCCTATTAAACGATGTGAACAACGACCCCTGGGGAAACGCCTACAAGATTGTAAAAAGGCATTTTTAAACCTTCAACAACCGCGGGGCTAGAAGACCCCGCATGGGTGAAGGCAATTATCAAAGACCTTTTCCCTAGCAGAGAATGCTGGGTAGGAAGCAGACCTTCTGACTACCTCTTCGACAAAGCCAAATGCTTCACGAAGGACGACCTAGTCCAGACGATGAAGAGAGATTAGAACTGCACCGGAACTAACGCGATCCTGGGGATAGTTGTAAAAGAATACCCAAAATGCCTTTTGAAAGCCTTTAACCAGTGTCTTGAACAGCGGAAATTCTATAAGGGTTGGAAACATCAGAAGCATATTCTCATGCGGAGAGGTAACAAGCCAATCCATCAGACGTCATCATTCAGACCTTTGTG